CTGCAAAGGAGCAAGGGTCCCGAGCCCCTGCTGCTTCTCACCTGGCTGCTCCCAGCCCTGCGGGCTGTGGAGGGGGGGCAGAGGGGGGCTGAGCCCCCGGGGTGCTTGCGTCCCCCAGCACAGTCTCAGAGTGGGGGGTGTTGGCAATGAACGAGGGTGGTGGAGAAAGGGGGGGTGAAAGGAGCTCGAAGGGCTCCTGCGCCGCACAGCGAGGGCTGCTGCAGATGCCAGAGCTGCTGCAGGCTGCCCTGCTGGGAGCTCTCTAGCGAGGGCTGTGTTTCAAAAAGGATCGATTCAAAAATTACAAATGGGGAAACTGAGGCACAGCAACAAGCCTGGGGATGTGAGGAGGCTATGGGTGGGCTGCAGGTGAAAGGAGCTCGAAGGGCTCCTGCGCCGCACAGCGAGGGCTGCTGCAGATGCCAGAGCTGCTGCAGGCTGCCCTGCTGGGAGCTCTCTAGCGAGGGCTGTGTTTCAAAAAGGATCGATTCAAAAATTACAAATGGGGAAACTGAGGCACAGCAACAAGCCTGGGGATGTGAGGAGGCTATGGGTGGGCTGCAGCCCAGCTCTCCCCAGCCGTGCTGGCTTGCAGGAGACCCAGCAGACACACATGGCCCCATACGTGCAGGCTGAGAGTCCAACTCCGGCTCCAGCTCCACAGGCTGAGGGTCCACCTCCAGCTCCAGCTCCAGCTCCAGCCCCAGCCCCAGCTCCAGTCCCAGTCCCATCCCCAGCCCCAGCCCCAGCCCCAGCTCCAGCTCCAACCCCAGCCCCAGCTCCAGTCCCATCCCCATCCCCAGCCCCAGCCCCATTCCCAGCCCCAGCCCCAGCTCCAGCTCCAGCTCCAGTGAGGGTTAAGGCGGTGGCTGTGAGATGGAGCCAGGAGAGGCCCCTGAGCTCAGCAGAGGAAGATGAGCGTGGCGAGGAATCTGTGCTTCCTCCGGCGAGGCTCCCCCACCGAGGAAACTGTCAATTAGCCGCATAGTTTTAACCACACAGCGCCGATTCCCATGCTTCAGTGGCTGCTCAGCCAGAAGTCCCTGTTCTTCATGTTTACATCCCCGGGGACCCCAGGGGCCCTGTGAGATCAGGACCTCACCGTGCTGCTGGCAGGACCGCAGGGGTTTGCTATGGCTTCAGGTAGCAGCA